TATCAGTATATTTAAGGTCTATAGGCGTAGACCGAAATTGTAAGTGTATACTTGGATTGAAGCCCGTCCACCACTGCCAAATATCCACTTACAACAGCAATTTATACTGCTAAAATCTGACTGCCGGCAGCAAGTGGATATTTGGCAGTGGCCGACGGGTTTCAACCCAAATATACACTTACAATTTCGGTCTGCGCCTATAGACCTTAAATATACTGATATATATTGCGAACATAAATTAATCTCTCAGGAGATCAAAAGGCTGAAAAAGAACTTATCTTTGATCAAAATGTTTTTATACCTATTACCATTAATAGATGATTAATTTATTTAATATCGTCCTTTAAATTCTGGTATAATTTGAGTGTTTTCATTGCCTCCGTGCTTTCCTCCATCAATGGAGATTCCTTTTGACGTTTACATCAAAACCTTTAAAATAAGATATATATTAAGAGCATTTACAAGACAAATGATTTTTTGGATGTCAGTTCTTATGAAGATGGCCATGTGGATCGTATATACAAATGCCTCAAAACAGCAAGTTACATTGTCGAGCAAAAGAAGTGTCTGCGGCAGAACTCTGATATTGTTATTCGTAAGATTAATAAAAATAAAGTAATAAATTACGTCGTAAAAAAACGTTTTAATTAGATATTTAGCTGGCGAATTTCTACGTATATTACTTTTGTCCAAGGGAATGTCAAAATTAAAATGGAGATTTTTTACAAGCTTTTTTTAATTTACCTGAGGATGAATGATTAATTTTAACTGGAAATGAACGAAGTCACTTTTCTCCTTATATTGGATTATTTTTCGCCATAGTGGATTACTTCCAGGCTCTGCTCTGAGCTTGCGAATGCACATAATTCTTATTCTTATCTGTGTTCCGTTTCTAACTAACGTATAAGCGAAGGTACAGGGTACAAAAAGTATATTCCTACATGACTTACACTAAATAAGGCCTGTTTCTCATTACCTTCGCGATAACATATGTTATTTCCGGTTGAACAAGTTTGGAATTCTCCACATCTCTTCTCCAG